AACAACGCGAATTCTAAAAAAACTTGGCGTGACTGGTTACCGTAAACTAGTGGAGTTTCTATAGGTTCTGCGCTTTTTTAAATCAGTTTTTTGCTTTTTAAAATGTTTTTCATGTTAGATTCTCGGGTTTTAGTCGGAGATTTCTCTAATTCCTCAAAGAATTTCTGCTCGTTTGCCCCTCGCGCACGTTCCTCGAAGAATCACTGGTAATTAGCCTGCGCCAAATACTGAATTCCTCAAAGAATTTCTGCTAGCCTGCCTCAAAATGGCCCGAATCCTTATAGAACTCTGCTAGCCTACAATCAGGTGGAAACTAGCGGAAAAACGATTGTTAGCATGAAATAAATAATAACAATAAAGTAATTTTTTACGCGTTTTCAAGGAAATTTTTCGCCTACCTTACCTTCAAAAACTTGAAAATTGGATTTAGATATTTGACAAGCTAATAAATTAACTCTTAAGCGCTAGAAAAGGTGAAAACCCCGCGTGTTTTTCCAATCAATCCAAGTAAAAAATTCAGAACATTTAGTCAATTTTTCCGGAGAAGCTCAAAAATTCATCTCAAACTTACAAACATTCTGAACCCGGTGACATTGGAGAGATCAGGGAAAACGGAGAGAGCGGAGAGATAGCTCCGGAATTGCATGGGCTCATCGACTGGATGGAGGAGGAGGAGGCAAAAAGGAGGAGGAGGGGAGGAGGCTGGGGTCGAAGGGTGGTGATCGGATGGGGGAGGAGGAACCGGCTCTACCTACGGGGGAATATATCGAATCGGATCGGATCGAAAAAATCAGATTCTAGGGGGTTTTTCAGAGAACAGGCTTTTGCTGACTGGCTATCTGTTTGTCTCTCGCTATTTTAGGCTCTCTCCCGCTCTTTCGCATTCGCTCTCTCCCTCTCTCTCGCTCTCGCTCTCTATCGCTCTCACTATCTATCGCTTTCTCACTCTATCTGTCTATCTAGATATCTTTCATTCTCACTCTTTCTCTCATTCACGCTCGCACACACCTCTCTCTCTCCCTCATTTTCTCTCGCTAGCTCTCTCTCTCTCTGTTTCTCTCTCACCCTCTACTCTCTCTCCTTTTCAGTTTGCCAAATTTTTATGGTATTTCTAGCGCCTCCGTCATTATTTCCCGAATTCGAAGTACCGACTCCTCTCTTTGACTCCTCGTGCTCCTTCTCCTTTGAGAGTTCAGAAATGGGTCACCTCGAGGCGGAACGGGGGATGAGAATGGATATATTGTACGTCAGCCAAGTCAACGAGGAGCGAGAGAGCGTGAGAGAGAGAGAGAGAGAGAGAGAGAGAGAGGGAGAGAGAACCAGTTCCCATCCCCCCAGTCACCAAGTTCTTCTCTTTTTCCTCTTTCTTTAGCCTTTTTGGATGGATTCAATCAAACATCTAACCGACTATCAAAGCAGGGGATGGGATTAGAGGAAAGGGACCTACGAAAAATATGCAAAATAACATTTTAAAAAATTATAGAAAGCTAAAAATAGCATAAAATTGGAAAAGGCCGACTTCTCCGGCTAGAAAAGTGCTCTCAATTTCGGGAGGAGTATCAGATCGGACTGATTTTCTTAGCATTAGAAAGCTCTTGAAAAGGTGAGCACAGGAAAGCTATTAGATTAAAAACTAAAATCATGATGCTAGCCATACGAGTAGCTTTAATTTTTTTCCTGCTGTTACTTTCAGCAAAAAATGTTAAATTCGCTTTTTCTGCTGAATTTGCTCGTAAAAGCAGCTTTAAAATTTGGTGAAATAGCATTAAGCTTGTATAAGTTTTAAAAAAATCATGCGAGGAGCAACGAACTTACGAAATATTGGAACTGTTAAATTTAAACCACAAACCTGTTCCCGGGTCGGCTTCCCACCCGCCAGTCCGTTCAACATTTTCGCGGCGTTTTCCTGAAAATTAAGCACTCCAAACAGCGATTTAAATTAATAAAATAATAAATTAATTGTTATTTAAGGAGATTAATCCAGAAATAGGTTGAAATTGAAATGTGCAATATGGCTGAAACTAAAAGTTTGACAATCGGACGATATGCAGCTATTTTTCAGAATATAGATAAAAAGGATGGCAAAAAAATTGCATATTTAAAGCACCTCTAGGGCATCAGAATTTTCTAGCATTGAAGAATATATATAGCTCTAAATTTAATTAAAGCGTAGAATTTCAGTAGGGCTTTTGCGAACCGGTAGATATTTCGGGAGTAACAGAATTTCACGTCGCGTTGAAGTGACTATTTATGGTGCACGAAAACAAGGGGGGAAGACGCGAAGATAGCATCTTAAAAGGGCCAGAGAGAGAGAGAGAGAGAGAGAGAGAGAGAGAGAGAGAGAGCGAGAGAGTGAGAGAAAGACGAGAAAGAATTAAAGGACAATGGAAGGCAAAGAGAAAAGAAAGGTGAGCGGAACTGTAGATCAGATAATCCCTCATTTCGTGCCATTACTCTGCCCCTTCCAAGAATTGGCCAAAAATAGGAGGGGATCTATGAAACATGGAACGATTTTTAAAGGGACATGTAACTTTCGGGTTAATTTTTTGAGGCAGGCTAGCAGAGATCAGGAACGTTGCCTAAGGTTGGGCTGAACGGGCAAGCTAGCAGAAGTTATTTGGGATCACTTAGATCTTGAAAAAGTCTTCAAAATGTTATGTGAACTTTAAGTCGCTTTCTCCATAAGATGGACAAGCTAGCAAAGATTTGCTGAGGAGGTTTGCCTAATATATTTGCGAATAACCAGCAGAAGTCGTGTCGTTTGCGCCGAAAGCTGGTGGCAAGCTAGCCGTGACCATTTTGGACGTCTAAGATAGCGCATCGTACGAGGCCAACTAGCAGAGACAATTTAAGATGCAGAGGAAGCTCAGATTGTACGGGTAATCCAGCAAAGATGATTTCTTAATGCAAAAACGGCCAATTTTTTGGGCAAGCTAGCAGAGAATAGTGGGGAGGCAAACGTATCGTAAATCCAGGGGGCAAACGGGCAAAGATCTTTGAGGAGAGCACCCGGCCAACTTTTCTAGAATCCCCGGCAAGCTAGCAGAGACCATTTAGGAAGATCTTCAATCAAAATTGTGAGAGCAATCGAGCAGAGGTCATTTAGGAATCCAGAACCGGCCAAACGTCCTAGAATTCGAGACCAGTGCAGAGACCATTTGGCAAAGAATGTCCTAAATCCAACGGGCAAACGAGCAGAGATCTCTGAGGAATTAGTCCAAAAATTGCAAAAGTCACGAAAAATCCGGTAGTTCTGGCCGATCTGTTGCTCCTTTTATACGCCTACCCCTAGTTCCGCCTGGCAACCAATTCCACCCCGCAAAAACAATCGGCAAACTGTAAAAAGACTGGCGGGTGGAAAGTGCATTGGGTGCGGATTGGAACGGGGGGAAAATAATCCCGGAATTCGAAAGGATTGAGACGGTGTAAAGTCTGGATGGGATCAGGCAGCGAGGATGGAGGCAGCAACAAACAAATGAAACAATCGTAGAAGTCGCATCAAAAACCACTCATAACGATTTTCGGCAGGAGATCCAACTTTAACGGAAGGGGTAAGGAATAGATATGGATTTCGCCGACAGAAGCGCGACATGCGACGTAACGCGCAATGCGGCACGCGGCCTCCCGGCAACGCACTATACGCAACGCGACACGCAACGTGACACGTAGCGCGACAAGCGACGCGACGCAACATGCTATGTGACACCCGACGCGACACTCAACGCAACAAGGAATTCGATACGCAACGAGACACCAAGCGCGACGTGACAAACCAAGCTCAACACAGTACGCATCGCTACACGCAGCGTGCTGCACAAACGCGTCGTGCAACGTTATACGAAACGTGACGTGGATCGTTATTTCTGGACAACGTACTGTATGAGCGTTGCGTTTCGCGGCTCTTAGGGCCGATTTCCTACGGAACCTCCACCTATTGACGGATCGTGATTTTCCGCAAATTATCTCTGCTGGCTTGCCAACCAGAGTCTAAATTTTTTGTTGATCTGGTCACTTTTTGGCCCTTCTTCCATCCTTCGAGCTGTTCATCAGGCTGACCATCGATTTCGATCAGCAAAACAACGGATTCTCAGTGTTTCTCTCTCGCTCTCTCTCTCCCCCTCTCTCTTTCGCACCAGAATTAATGCAGGGCGGTTTATAGCGGGAGCGGAATGAGAGCGGGAAGCCCCGTCGAAGTGGCCACTGTTTCGATTCATCATCGACTTTTCCCCAATCGGCCAGAAACCTGACTATCTGCCATCAAATCCAATTCTTAAAGCGCTGCAGATTTTTGTCAATTACGCTATTGGCGGATTTATTGATCGAAGTAAGTTAATTATTCAGTACATTTAAAATTCTGAACGGTGATTTTTAGATTTTTCAGGGTCGAATGCTGATCTAATTCCAATATTTTCGAAAAAGGCCGATTTCCGCAAGCATAAGATTTCCCGCAAAAATGTGAGTTTACAGCGAGTTACTCAAATGTTGGCTTATCTGATGGCCAAATCATCGGGTGGGCCATGACTGTTTTTGATGTTTTGGCTACTCTGGCTGGCCTAGACTATCTTTAAATCAATCTCTACACCCAAAAATTGCCTTCAAATGGCCACAATCGACTACCATACTATTCACACCCAAAACGTCTAACATTCGTGTCTAAAAATTTGAAAATTCCTACCCATCATGTGTGTACGCAATGTCAATCGACCTGTGTAAGTCTGGGGCTCTTGCTGGGTTCACTGAAATTTCCTACGTAATCCCTGCTAGCCTGCCCATTTTTGAACGAATTTTCCACAAGGAATTATGCTAGTTTCCCATATCACGCCACTTCCTCAAATTATCTTTGCTAGCCTACCCCAAAATTTGCTCAAAAAATTCTGCTGATTCGCTAATATTGGTCCGCGCTGTTTTTTTCGTAGGTATAATAGGGTTTTTCATAGGATAATAGGTAAAAAAAGTATAAAAACAACTATTACTTCCCCCAAAAATTTCCCTTTTTTAGGATGTTCCAGGCGAGCGAGGACGGGAAACAGCGGTGGACCCTGATTACCGTAGTCGTCGGGGTTGTAAGTCGGAATCTAAAAAATATACATTAATATATTTCTTTAGACAACCGCCATTAATCTTGGGGTTTGCATCGTTTTTCGAGTGTTGCTCGATTCGGAGGATGAGAAAAATGAACCGTTGATTAAAGGTAGGCCTCGTTCTCTCTCTCTCGTTCTCTCTTTCGCGCTCTCTCTCTCCCTCTACCTCTCCCCTCTCTCTCTCGCTCGCTCTCTCTCTCTCTATCTCGCTCGCACTCCCTCCCTTTCTCTCTCTCTTTCACTCTCTCCATCTCTCTCCTTTCTTGACACCATCCCATTAAAGGTGAATTGCGTGACCGTATGACAGCCTTCCTGGGTGTCTTCACGATGACGTTCTTCTTCGGCTGCTGGTGTTGCTTCTGCTGTGGCGGATGGGTTTTTCAGTGAGTTTTTTTTGGTGGGCTGTGCGGCAGGCTAGCAGAAAACATTTGGGAATCGCGGTGGTGATTCTTGAGAAAAGACATTTCGTGTAGAATTAGGGTGGATTTAGCAATTAGGTGTAGCTTTGGAGGAACATTTATTTTTCCCAGGATTGGGTGTCATCTTTGCTTTCGCCATGGGGCAAGCTAGCAGCAATCCTTTGAGAAATTGCCCAGATGAGGCAGGCTAGCAGTACCTATTTGGGAAACAGTCGAGGCGGGGTATGCTGGCAGAGATTCTTGGTGAAATCGTCCAGATGAGGTAGACCAGCATAGAATATTTTGGAAATCGTCCAGAAGAGGCAGGCTAGCAGCGCCTATTTGGGAAACGGACCAGCCGGGTAGATGCGCAGAGATCATTTTGGAGGAATTTCGAGCAGACTAATAGAGATTCTTTAGGGAAACCGTAAAGGCGAGGCAGGCTAGCAGAGACTATTGAGGAAACAAACTATTTTAAACTATCTGAAATTAAATTCAATTTTAGGGCAATACTGTCGGTTCCACTGTATTGCTACCGTGGCTGTGG